ATGAGTCTACTAAAGAGGAGTCTGAATTGAGGATTTTGAGCATATGAAATTTGTAGAGTGGTAGCATGTGGTCCGATTAATGTAGAATTGTTTTGCGGTTGGTAAAGAATGTTGGAGCTGTGGTGTCAAAGCTGCACAAGAGGCAGCAAATGAAAGGAAAGCTGCACAAGAGGCAGCAAATGAAACAAAGCTGCACAAGTGGCAGCAAATGAAAACAGAGCTGCACAAGGGGCAGCAAATGAAGAAGGCTGCACCAAAGCACGGTAGCAGCAAAGTGCAGCAACCTATGCTGCAAAATATTGATGAAATGATGGTGAAATGAGGCTGAAATGTAATGCAAATGAAAGCAAATGGAAGGCTGCAAAGTAGCAGCAAGAACAGCCACAAGGAGCCACACAAATGAAAGCAAGTCTTTTAATGTAATCTTACATTAAATGTTTTGTAGATTTTTCTCTTAATGGATAAGTATTAGGCACTGTTTATGTACTGAATTTTCTGCTATATAATAGCAGAACAATGAATGAAAAACTGGAGTTCTCACCTCAACAAAGGGGAACTCCGGGTTGGCTCTCTTCCTCCTCCAAGTCCCTTCTATTTTCAGCAGAAAATTCCAACAAAGAAGATCAACCACTGCCATACCTCCTGTTTCTGCAAGGTGGACCGGGTTTTGAATCCCCGAGACCAACCGAAGGCAGTGGATGGATACTTAAAGCTTGTAAGGAGTTTCGTGTTATATTAATGGATCAGGCATGGTTTTTTTTTCTTGAAGCTTATTTGATGAAATGGAGTACTTGTGCTTGTTGTTATTGAGGGTTGGTGATGTGTTTTTTCTTGCAGAGAGGAACAGGATTGTCAACTCTGCTGACAACGTCATCTATGCTGCAATTTAAGTCCGCCCGGGATTTGGCTGATTTCTTGAAACATTTTCGTGCTGACAGTATAGTCAATGATGCTGAGTTTATCCGTGTTCGTCTTGTTCCTTGTTCTGGACATTGGACAGTTTTGGGCCAGGTATTAAAATTACCGTTCAATTTTGACATTTCTGTTTGTGCATTTCACCATTTCATATGACTATGAGGAGTGTCTAGTGATGATCAAATAATCTGTATGCATGCTGTGAGTTTATGACTTTTTGTGTTTTTAATCTTTTCTCACTCTTTCTGGCAGAGCTATGGAGGTTTTTGTGCCATCACCATTTGAGTTTTGCACCACAAGGATTGAAACAAGTGCTTCTAACTGGAGGAATACCTCCAATTGGAGATGGGTGCACTGCAGATACTGTTTATGGAGCTTGCTTTGAGCAGGTTGCTCGTCAGAATGAAAAATACTACAAGAGAAATCCTCAGGATATTGAAGTTGTTTGTGAAGTTGTAAACTATTTGGCAGAATCTGAAGGGGGTGGGGTGAGGCTTGGCTGCATTTGATCCTGGTTCGTTACTCAAAGCTGATATTTTAGCTAAATCTTTTTAATGTAAACTTCTTTTTGTGCAGGTTCCTCTTCCATCTGGGGGCATCTTGAACCCAAGGGGGCTGCAACTTCTTGGTCTTTCTGGTTTAGTCTAGTGCAGGTTTTGAACGCCTTCATTATCTGTAAGCATCATTATTATGCACCCTTTTTTTTTTTTCTACAAGCTCAGATTTCAGTGTTATGTCACTGCATCCGCATCTTTTTGTAATCTCTTAAAAACAACTGTAGGTTTGAGAGGGTCTGGGATCCTGTAATAGTCCCAGGAGCACCTAAGAAAATTAGTTTCTACTTCTTGAATGCTGTAAGGTACTTTTTAGTTTCTTATTTATATTTTGGAAGTTCAAGTCACATTCTCGGAATTAATCTTGATTCATTTTTGTTTGAACAGTTTGACAATTGATTGGGTTTTGATTGAAACCCACTCTATGCTCTTATCCACGAGTCAATTTACTGTCAGGTAGATTTTGCTGTTTATTCTATTCCATTTGCTTGATGAGCGACATTTTGCTGCGTACGTTACCCTTAAAAAGGAAGGAAAAAAATCAGTATGTGGTTGAACAGGTTTTACCAAGGCCAAATCCAAACAATACCATTAGGACTCTTACCTCAGTTGCAATATTCCACTCACATGCATATATGATTTGATTTTTGAGTTATTTGTTGTTTCTTAATTCTATAAAGGGTGCTTCATCTCGGTGGTCTGCTCAACGATTGAGGGCTAAACATGAGAACAAATTTGATGCAATCAAGGCTGCAGGTGAAGGACGCCCTGTACTTTTTACAGGGGAGGTAAGACCATGGTGTTTTGTTGATTGCAAGTTTGCAACTGCAACATTTACATGCAAGCATCAGAGTCTGTTTGACATAGATCTGAGAAAGCCAACTAGCCTTCTGAACAAACCTTCTGCAGTAGCACCACGACAAGTGCCTGAGTGCCATGAACTGGTTATGGCAGCCAATGCCATACCACTCAGTGACATGGTGAGTTTTTCCCATTTCTGTGATGATCCTTCAAAAACATCAAAGGAGAAGCTGTGATGAAATCAATAAAACATTCAAGAAGCTTTCAAAAAAATGAAAGAATTAAGAAGACTAGAAAAAAAAGGATTAACTACTTTCCCATTTTCCATTATACTTTAACTGAGTCTCGATTATTTAATGCAGGCCCAGAGTAACAGAAGAGTGGTGAGTGCACAGAGCAAAATGAGAAAGAAAAAGCTAGAAACTGGGACGTTATAAAAGGAAATGAAGCTAGCAGAACAATGAGAAATACCACAAATAGAACTTAACCTTCCAGTAAATTGAGGTTACTTACGAACTCAAGTGCTTGACCTTATTGAAATAGTTTCTGGGTATTAAACAAATAGAACTTTCAGTAAATTGAGGTTTTTTTACACTTCTGACATTGTTTAATTTTTTTAATGAAACAATTTATATTCTTGATAAATGAATTATCATACAATTTTAAATCATGATTAAGTTATTTGAAAATTTTAGCTAAAGATAACAGTTGCAGAAGTACATAGATACAGAAGCAAGCTTGAAAATCACAGCCATTAAAGCATGATTTTAAGTAGTAGGCGTAACATCATGAAAGAAACCACATAGGTAAATTAAACAAACTTCACCTTGAGGAAATTGTCGAAGGATTTTATCATAACTCTCAAATTTCAAATTTTAGTTTTTTCCTTCCTTCCTTTTAATCCCTTTAGTTTTCTTATTTCATTGACTTTATGTTAATTAAAGCTGTTTAATATGGTTTCGATTTTAGGTTTTGAGTTTTATTATATATATAGTAATTATTATTACATTAAAAAATCACAATTTATCATAAAAATTTGAATTTATTAAATTTAATTTAAATATAATATTAGTTATT